AGGGGCTGCGGCCGGGCGAGGGGCCTCGGAGGAGAAGGGGATCCCCCCTGCCTGGGGCCGGGGACTGCGGGCACAGGCGCCGCTCCCCCACGGCCGCAGGGCCATCGCCCCACACCGAGACACACCCTTCTCTTCCCAGCCCGCACCTGATAAAAATAAGCGGCAGCTCAGGGGAACCAGGTGGCACTCCACATTTGGACTGGCCCATTGTGGAAGCCAGCAGCTGCCAAAGTTTAACCCTATGGTGCGCTTCTGGTAACATCTTCACCTGCCGTTGGTATTCGTTCTGCTTGGCACAAAGTTTGAGCGTAAGGGAGCGTGAGAAGCTGCCGGGCAGCACGACAGAGTGCAAGATACCTAGCGTGGAATGGAAAAATAAGCCATTTACATCATCATGCATCATTATTTTATTTCAGTTTTGCATCATTCCAAAAATAATTAAGGGACATCATAACCAGCAGTAGGTGCACATCAGTGGGCTTTGCAGTTTGAGCCTCTAAGACGACCGGATCTCTTGTGCCAGGTGCTGTAGAAGCACAGTCGGAAAGAGCCTCTGATCTCGACAACTCATGGCTTGAGGGTGAATTTCTCATAAGCATTCAGGGCCCCAGTCTGACTCAGTACATGTTGAAGTCAGTATTAGAACTATAAGTAGATTAAAAGGAATGAAGATAGGGTAAAGGGGTAGGCTTCTAAACATTCCCTCCCCCAGAAGAACATTGGAAAAGATACATCAAGCACTAAGAAACATCCTTTCCCTTTTACTGATGGGAAACTGAGGCAGGAGAAGACTAAGACGATCTGTGGCAGCACCAAGGAAACTCTTTCTCTGTTGTCCTAGTCCAGTACCTTAACTGTTGACTGTCCACCTCTGTCCTCACCTGACCCAATGCAACCACAAGCATTGTGGAAAGTATGGCTGAGATACTCTAGCATGGGAGGGATCGAGCACCGTAGCCCCTAGGAGCTCACGAGCAGTCTGAGTCAGTTCTGGTTGCTGTAGTTTATCACTTCCTTAGTCTACCAAACCAGAACCACTCCCAGCTTATAGCAAAGCAATCAAGACAATGCTAAAGAGTTTAAAGCATTAAAAAACACAGTATCAGGTTTTTGGAAATACAGGAAGTGTCTGATCAGTTCAAGTCCTGTTTTGGACTGCAGTCAGGATCGGATGCTGCATCGAATTGTCCCCTCTGGATATCACAAACCATACAACATTGGCACAGCACCACCCAAGGAGGGGAGGAGGGTCATCAGTCTTGTGATGTTAATCACTGTTGTAGGGGCTTCTTGAAGGAGATACCTAGGTGTCTGCATGCCAGTGTAGATCTCAGGTGGTGCTCCGGGCTTCAGTGGTCATTCTCCGAAACTTCTGCAGGTAGACAATGATGAAGATAACCAAGATACCCTGGAGGAAGAGGAGGATGAAGAGACAGAGCTGAGAGAAGAGAGCCAGGCTGCAGTACCAGTACTGGCATGTGGAGATGATCTCATCTTCTGTCAGATAAGCAATGATCCGGTCCTGCAGGTGAGCTGGGGAGGTGCATCTCACATCCCTGTATAAGGTCCGGTTCTGCTGCCACTGGAGCCAGGAGCGCAAGTAGAGGATGTCACAGTTGCATTCCCAAGGGTTGCCCTGCAGGTAGACTACCTGGAGGCTCTTTAGGTTGTCAAAGAGCCCATTGGGAACAGAGGTGAGCCTGTTGTAACTAAGGTGGATAATTTCAGCCGAAGGGCGGAAAGCAACTGGTAGTTCTGCTACAGTTAGGCCTTTTGACGTGCAGTCAATAATGTTGGTGGCACACTTGCAAGGCACAGGACATATGGGTATCACGAGTGGGAGGAAGCTAAGGACAGACAAGAAGAGAATTCCACTGTTCATCTTCACCTGCAAACACTCCCCTGGTGAGACTGGATGAGGTGGAGACCAGGCAAGCAGACACCACGCACTCTCGGACTGATACCACAGCCCCGGTCTTTTGTTTGTTTGTTCTGAGGAAGAGTTTCTAAAGTTGGATGAATTTGGTGTCCTTCACAGGAGATGTGAGAGCTCTGAAAAGAACAGAGTTAACAGAGGCGTGTAAATTCCTGGTGTCTCATTACAGAAGAGGGAATGTTCCTGGTCTTCCAACCCTGGATTTGAGGAAGGATATGAACAGATGACTACTGGGAGGCTTAGCTACAGCCACCAAATTCATTTTCACTGGTCCTCAAAAGTGTGTAAGAGCTGCTTGTATTTTCAGCATTACTAGAGGCACATTACTAGGGTAGCCAAGAAAATTTATGTCAAAGAATCAAAAATTAGAATATGAAACTGCTCATGCCTTATCATAGCTCTGAATTACATCTGTAAGCAAAGCATTGTTCATGCAAACTGAAAGAGAAAATGCAGAAATAAATTTACTATTACCACAAGTAAAAAATACACTTTCCAGTTTTCAAAAGAAGCGATGAACAGTCCTTGGCCAGCAGAGAGGGTGCTGACCACTGAGGGTGGAGGTCAGTGGAGTTTTCCATGCTAGACATTGCTCCAGCAGGTGAATAATCTCCTTCTGGAGCTGTGACCGTGCTGGGAGACATGGGTCAATGAGCTGCCTTTGTATTGCAGTCTCATGCCACTGCTGAACACATGAGCTCCTATAACCCCTTTAGGAGAACAACTACACATACCTGCAACAAGGCAGTGCCTTTCTGTGCAATCTGTCAACCAAATAAAAAGGAGAAGGAGAAAAAAGAAAAAAAAAAAAAAAGAACACAAGGTAGCTTTGTTGACTTACCAGAGTAGTTCAATCCTTGCTTTCTCGCTGGCTTTACAACACAGGAGGAAGGTCTTAAGGCAGTCCAGCCAGTGCAAGAGTGTTTGCAGCTGCATAGCTGAGCTCCCGGATAGTCCCCTTGCAGCTGGCTGGCAAGATAAGGGTCAGGCTCATCCCAGGGACACCTCCCACATGAGGTCTTCCTGCAAGTTTGCTGCACATAACCGGAAGCTGAGGCTTCATGGAACAAGTCTTCCAAGAAATGGTAGCTGACACTGCTCACAGGAGCATGTTTGCTGGGAGAGATGCTGACAGTACTGGTAACTGTGATTCTGGGCCCACATGCTCAGCCCAACAGAAACATTGCAAAGTCTCAATTGCAAAGCAGTAGCTCAAAATGCATTTCAACATGAAAGGTGATGTTACTGGTTTGTACCACACTTCCTGAGCACTGTGGCCTTTGGTTTCCCATCTCCTCAGGAAGACTGCATTTGGCAGAGTGGTGAGACCTAGCACTTTGCAGTGTGCTGACCCTGAGGTTTCCCTTGAAGCAGTGACACGAACCTACTCCTAATTAGCAGTGGAAGATCTGCTGAAAGAAATGGACTTGCAGCGACCACACTGGTGTCAATAGTTGAGCCAAGGAGGAAGATCCTCCAGGCACTTGCATTCTCTCATGATTGTTACAGGGATAAAATATAACTTGGCGTTTCACTGCCTACATCAAAATAAGCTAGTTAGATTCACAGGAAGGACGACAGACTGGCAAAGATAGTCCTCTGTGGAACTGCTCGTTTGATAGCCGAGTCAGCAGCTCTTGACAAGTGCAGCTTGCAGTTACCAAGACAGGCTGACCATGTCCTTTATTCAGAAGTTGCATTACGCAAATACTCGAATAGGTAAGTCCAAGGGTCAAAACCACATTTAGGTAGAATCTTGTCTCCTCAAGGCCATCACACCTTCACAAACATTTTTCTGCCATCAGCCTGACTTTAGGCATTGGCTATGCTCCTCAGGATGAGGCCACCAGAATCACATTGCAAAACTGTTGCCCCGTTGGGCCCAACTCTCCATTACCTTGTACTGTGCACATTGTACCGAGCAGAAATGAGGAACGCCCTGAATGTGCTGATGCTAAAGAGAATTTAGGGTGTAAACAACAGCAGAATTTGGCCCTAGCTAAGGGAAAACCTCTGATGCTCTAAACAAAACAATTAAGCTTTAAATGTCTAGTAAGTTGGAGCAGATCATTCCAGTTGTTTCACTGTGGCAGGCAGGCAGAGTAGGAAAGAGATCTTAGGCTAACAAATGAACCAAGTTTTTCCTGCAGGGCCTGCTTTCCACTTGGGAGCAGCTTGACTACCACAGGGTTAAGTTTGCTCAGCAACAGCCTCCTCTCATGCATTTGGTGCTAAGTTTATCCACAGGCAGGTGTTCAGGCCAGGTGTGGCATGGAGCTGATCTAGAGCCAGACCCATCCTGGCTCTGCATGCAGCACAGACTCAGCAATGCTCCTTTGGCTACTTAAAAAATGGATTTCCTGCGACTGGATCCTGCCCAGCTGCCCATGGCTAATTTAGACACCACTCCTAGGAGACGCTTAAAGATAGAAGAACTTCAGGATTATCTTGTCTAGCTTCTGACATAAACACAGGCCAGAAATCCCACGCAGGAAGGCCTGCCTGGAGGCTGCTCTGACAGAATTGGATAAAAGGAGAAATGGCGTCAGTTTTGCTCTCTCCTGCCCACAACGTATCACCAATGCTGCTCAACAGGACTGAAAATTAAACAGAAAGAGGTTGGGTTTTTTAATGTATTTATTTCACTGATCAATTCAGGTAGTAAACATTATTATTAATAATAATAATAACAATAATCATTTAATAAAATGGATATGTTTTAAAAGGTTTCATTTTTCTTTGTTCACAATGACAAAATGTTCAAACTGAAATTTACAAAAAAAAATATATATTATAATAACCCAAGAGATGGACAGGAAACAAAGAGCCTAGGAATGGAGCAGGGGGTGAGGAAGCTGCACGGCAGGAGCAAGCCAGCGTTAAAGCACATCAGGGTTTGCGAGGAGGAGCAAGGAACGCCATTGCAGAGCACAAAGAGCGGGACCCCCTCCTTCTCTGGGGGCAGGCATGCGGGGAGGCAGCAAGGACGGCACAGGCAGGACCAGCACAGCAGTGGCACATAAGGAGTTCGTGCCACGGCCCCCTCCCCAGCCAGGCACAGGGTCCGAGGCATTGTACTGACAGCCCCAGCTGCGGCCTGGGACAGCTCTGCAGGGTGGGCCACCACCCTTGCAGGGACTCACTCAGCAGGGCAAAGCTTGGCAGAGGCGTGGGAATGTGCCTGGGGGTGCAGGGGTCGCATACGAGGCTGTGGAGGGTTGCATGAGGGGAGGTGTTAAATTACTTTCCCATCCACACTTCTCACTGCCAGAGCCAAATGGCCAAGCTACATTTGTTCAGGAGTCTCTGCTCTGCTTACTGTGCAGCTCAATGCAGCAGTACAAAACATTCCTCCTTTTAATAAACAGATGCTACATTCCAGGACAGAATCTGAATTCCTGGTGGTGCCCCGCGAAGTCAATCTCTAAACCCTTTCCAGGCAGCCCCCAAACTCTGGTGCTCTGGGCAGGGAACCTCTGACACAGAGACGCGATTTCAGCCGTACCACCGCCCCTGTGCAGAAGCCATCTCTGGTGCCTCACTCCTGTGCGTTTTTTCCTAAGCGCAACTTGAACCATCTTTGCCAGCTAGTAGCCAAAGGCTTCAGCTCTCTGTAGAGGACAGACTTGTGACTATCGACTTGATGTAGGAGCCATATGCACTGAGCTGATGAAGACTTCCTCACCCAGAGGGGCGGGCAGGTTCACCCTCAGCAATCCTGCCCGTCTGTGACCAGAGCACCCTGTGCTCTCACACAGCACTTTCACACACAGCCCAGGATAAAAGCTGGCAGCTCCTCTACGCCCATGCTAAAGGGTAAAGGTCTCCTTTACCTTCTAGGAATGAATGTTTTTGAAAGAGGAACATCTCTAGCTGGACAGGGCTCATTTCCAACAGAACATCCTCTTCACAGACAAGACGACTGTAAGAAAATAGGGGACAGGTACTGCAAGGTGTTTCCCATTATGCTAGCATGGATAAAGCTGAGAATTCAGCAGTCGTCCTGCTTCAGACAGCAGCAAACCAGCTCCAGAAAACCTGGAGGAAGCTCCTGTTTCAGGCTACTCCACTGCTCAATTAAGCACATTGCACAAAGAAAGGTTGTATTTCCTCCTTAAGCACCTTGGTCCTGCGTGTTATTGAAGACAAGCTGAACCCTTCCCCTCTTCTAGGCTGGCGCTGGCACTGTCACTTATGAGCCCAATACAGGGGAGAATGAAAGGAAAAAAAAAAACCCCAAACCAAAAACCACTGTTGGATGCTGCTCTTGCCCAGCTTGCGCATTTCTGCCAAGGGGCTGCCACCCTCGCTTTGTCCTTCCACGCTGTGCCAGGGTCTCTCCCCTGCCCCTGCAGCCCATGCTCCGGCTAAGCTGAGGCTCTGTACAGTGAGTAACTGGGACAAGCCAATCTGATCACCACCTGGGCAAGCCCTGATCAGGACTCCAGAGCTCCATGGGGGGAATCAGAGAAACGCAGCGCCTAGTAACAGAATTTAGGGCCTGGCTATTCCTGGCCAACACCGTGCTTCCTACCCAGGGAGATCTACTGGGGGGAGACAGAGATGGAGGAGCAGATACAAAGGGGGAAAGGGGACAGAGGAATCCGGTCGGGAGCCAGAGGAGCAGAAGGGCCCAGCCCATGGCAGCACTCCCTGGAGTCAGAGGGAAGAGCCAAGTGTCTCCCTCCAAGAGCCCGGATTCCCCGTGAGCGCGGCAGTGTTGCTGGTGAGGCCTGCCCTGTCAGGCACATCACACCCCGGGGCTCTACTCAGGCTGGACTAAAGTTAAAAATACTGCAGGAAGCAAGAACAGGACAGAAGCTGCTGCCCAAAGAGTGCTCTTATCTCTGCCCAGCAGATCCATCAGGCTTCCCAGCACTGGGACAGGAAGAGCCTCGGACCGGGGAGGGGGAGAAGGGCTGCATCCCAGGGGAAGGGCAGGGGAGCAAGTGCCAAGTCCGCCGGGCTGTGCTCAGCCCCATGCAGTGACACTCCTGCACCTGCCACGGTGACCCAACACCTGCCTGGACAGGCGGCTTGCAGATCTCTGGTACAAGCCTACAAAAACTGCCCCTTTCCCCAGGAGAAGCTCAGAGCCAGCAATGCGCTTGTGGAACTGCAAAGCCCAGGGGAAGGGCACAGCTCTGCATTTGGGGTTGGATTTCAGCCCTAGGGTTTCCGCCCCCTCCAAAGCAGTCCTGGCCAAGCACTCTGGCTGCCACGGTGCTTTTCAGAGCAGATGCTGGAGACACACTGCAGCTGGATGACCAGAGCTAAACCATGAGATACCCTCACCCAGCTACTGCAGGGCCTGGGATTCCTCTACCAACACCTCCGGCCTCCTGTGGGAGGAAACCATGGCTGGGAAGGTGCTCACTCCCATCATCTCCTTACAGGCAACAGTCAGCAACTCATCCTCTCTGCCAGAAAGACATAACTGAGAGCAGTAGAAGCCATTTTCTTCAAACTGACCTCGAGAGACTCAGTCCCTTGCTCTCAGTGCAAAGATGCCGGAGTTTCTTGACAGGAAAAACAAAACCAACCAACTAAACAAAAAAACCCAGAAAAACCCAGGCAGGAAACCAGGCAAGCATCAGGACCCCTGAGGAGGTCAGTGCACAGAGAAACCCCCAGCGCCAGCTCTCTGGGCCATAGCTGGCCCCAGGCTGAGGAGCCCGAGTGGCACAGTTCAAACTCACAGGAGGGTACGGCTGCCTTTACAATGCTTGTGCTGGCCCCAGACAGAGGCAACGGGGAGCGGGGCACAGCACCTCAATTGGGAGTAAACATTTACGTGCATTGACACAGATAGTCTTCAAGTTCGTACACCAGAGAAACCAGGACTTTAAATACCAGAGCATTCCCAAACAAGAGATTAGTACATGGGAAAGGGAGATCTTTTTCTTTTCTTTTTTTCTTTTTTAGGATGCCTGAGAGACTTCCCCGGCTATTTTCTTTTTTTTTTTTTAAAAAAAAAAAGAAAAAAGAAAAGAAAGAATAATTATTAAAAAAGAAATACACATCAGTAAACCGTTAAGTGAACAGCCTCCTCCACAATCCAGCTGACTGCAAAGCCAGCATTGCTGCTAATAAATTAGAGGGTGTGGGTGCAGCTCTTGCCCACAAGTCTCTATACAACGGGAAACCTTTTCTAAGCGTCCACAGCTCTTGCCAGGCCTCAGATGGTCACTGGGGGATTCCCTCTGCCCTCCGAGTACCTGCCTCTCACTGATCCTGCATCTGCTGCTGCATCTTCTGCAGCATCTCCTGCATCCGCCGTAACTGCATGAGACAGAGAAGAGATAGTCAAAAAGGGACCTGTTGTGGCTGGGAGCTGGTGATCTGCACTGGGGGCAGTCCCTTGGGGCGGACAAAGGGATCCCTCAGAGTATTAACTCTTGCCTGAGCACAGAGGCATCTGTGCCTGCAGTGGAATGAAGCCTTGACAGAGGCAGCCACAGCTTTTTACATGATGGTGGGAGGCAGGAGTGCGAAGCCCCAGGACAGCCCCTATGGGGCAATCCTGGAGAAACTCCTCAGATTCCAGCTCCAACACCAAGGAAGCCCAGGCAGAAAAGGGTCTCACCTCCTCATCCTTCATTTTGATCAGCTTCTCTGTCTCAGTGTCCGGTGTTGGGAGGGGCAGGATAGGAATCGGGCTTTCTATCCTGTTGTCCTGAGTCAGCTTGCTAGAGAGACGGAGAGAGGGAAGAAACGCAGTCAGTCATGGCTCAGGTTGGCTGGCTTTAGTGTCACGACACAATGGCTGTCACTTGTGATGGCAGAAGTGCCAGCAATGTGGCAGCATGCACCCACCCAGGTGGGGGGGCTATGGGGAAATCTAGTCCAGAGGTGTGGCATGCACTCGGATGCAGAATGAGACCAAAGTCAGTAAAAGTTTTCAAAATAGAAGCTTGTGGGTAGCTAACAGAGAAAACCCAAACCAGGCTTACACTGAGAGCAAACACAGAAAAGGCTGATGTTTCTGACCACCTTTTGTAACCGCACCAGCAAGCTTAGCAGAGACATTTACAGTCAATTTATCTGGTCTCCTTTGGCTCATCTGTGCGTGTGCCTACACATATACACAGCATGAACACAAACTATCAGCATCCCTAAGGCACCACGTGCTCACCATGGTCCTTTTTTTTCCAGGAAGATAAAACCAGGGGAGCAGTTTAATCACCTCAAGTCTGATAACAAAGCCTGCCCTCATATTCAGGAGGTGGGAGATATGAGACACAACAGGCACAGCACAACAGCACTGCGATGAGAGCTGGGACTGCACACGAGTGCAGGCAGGGGGCAGAGGAAGGAGGTGACTTTCTTCCGAAAGCCAGAGGAGCTCTATGTACGTGAGGAGGGGGTGGCAGTAGCTGAAGACGCCTGGGCTGAAACTAGGAATTCAAGATGCCACTTGCAGGCGTTCACCACTTGGAGTCACCGTTGGCTCATTATTGAGTCAATTCCAGCCCTGGAGCTTGGGATCTCCTCCCAGAACGTCTCTCTAGACAAGGACCCTTATCACATTGCTAGAAATGGCCATGCTACAGTTTTCTGAGACTTGTTCACTGGAACTAGCCACGGTGTGCAAAATGGTACCAAACTTAAGCTTTTCTTAAGCTGAGCAATTGCTGTTTCATCACGCTCTTCTTTTAATAGATATATAGCCTACCTAAATAGCAGCTGTGACAATTCTCACAGATCTCTAGCATTTAACATAGTTATTTTGGGACTCCATATCCTCACTGTTGAAAAAGACAGACTTGTCTGCTATGCAAAAGTACTGAGGTATGCTGTGTGTGAGCAGAATGTGCCAACCTCTACATCTGCACACATGCAGGACTGTTCCTTGGTGAAACACAGCCTTTTCTGCTCTGCAACGTGGCAGCACAGAGCTACCCGGCCAGTTCAGGCAGGAAGTGAAGGGGATGATTTACAACAGATGAGCCAAGACCTACTTAAACTTAAAATTTGTATTTCAGGCATGGAAGGGAGAAGATAAAAAAGAGGTTTCAAATGAGAAGCTTGTGAGTGTTCTCTCTTCTATTTTCTGATCACTGTGACTAAAACCACAGAGAATCAAATCCAATGGGAAGACAATGCAGAGAAATCTTTGGAAATGTGTTAAGAGTCTTGCTAATTGCCTGGGCTCTGTTGTCTGAGAAACAGCAGCATCCCAAGGGTCATGCCGTCATTTGGACAGAACTGCAAACTGCAGAATGCCTTCCTCTTTGGCAATGCACACAGCTACCACCCACCAGAGAGATGGTTTATCGCTTGTTTCGTTAGGCTGGATGTATTTCACCCAGCGCTAGGAATAGCTCTTCAAAAGAATCTCCAGGCCTGTTTCCCAAGATCTGCATGGGGAATCCTCAAGACAGGAACATGGATTCTCAGAAGAATCCCCACCATGGATTCAGGCTGTGGGAGACATGCTTAGATTTGCTCTTTTACTTGCCAGTGCCATTCCCCAGGCTGCAGCCCAGCACGTCTGCAGCAGACGTGCGGGGGGAGCCATACTGAGAGCAACCCCAGCTCCGCAGAGTGACACACCCCTGCCACCTCCGGCTGAAGCGGTGGGGACCCACCTGGTCATTTGCTGGATGCACTGAGCTCGGTAGTTCTCATAGTGGACATCGCAAGTGACGTCCTTCAGGTCATGCATGTGTGTCCGGATCAGCATGTTCCGCAGCTTCACGAAGTCACAGTGTGCCTGGTTTTCCACTGCAGAAGCAACAACAGGAGAGTGCTTGGATGTCACACCTCACCAGCCCTCTCCAGGGAGCCCCTTCTCACCTCCCGCTGCCCAGGCTGGACTAAAACTGCCCCCAGGGCCCCTTTCTCAACCTCCCCCCACTCTCCCCCGCCACTGCCTGGGGCCCTCCCCCTGGCCCCGGCACAGGCCTCGATGATGCTCTGTGCCTCTTGACGCCGAGGCCAGGCTGCCGAGGTCACTGCGTTCCCAGGTAAGAGGATTAATTAAGCGTGTACAGCAGAGCCCTGAAAGAGGATGCTGCTCCCAGGTACACGGGATGTCACTGTTATAACCACAGTGAGTGCAGCCGGTGCTGGAGGCAAAATGCTCGTCTCCTCAGAATTTAGGACTGATCAAAAGGCCCCTGTACGCAAAATCAGCCCCCAAGGGGCAAAGCCATGAGCAGACAATGGGCTGGAGAGCTGAAAGAGCTGTTACCATGGGGAGCCAGGCTCCAGGTAGTGCTGCAGGGCTCTGTAAGGAAGCATTGTGCTCAGTAGCTGTGTGCCTGCCGTGGTCATCTCCATTTACCTCCCCAGCAGGGCTGGGGAAAGCTGGCTGGGTCAGGCCCAGGGTTTCACAAAGTTGATCCCACTGCCAAATGCCAGCACTCCGATAGGCACAGTCCCCTCCGGAGCCAGCAAGAAAGCAGAGCCAGCAGCTGGGCAGCCCAAGCAGCTGGCACCAGCCCACGAGTGCACACACAAGCTTTTGGGATCTAAAGCTGCAAGACCTTAAAGCAATGCACCAGCACGGGGAAGTCAGCAACAGCAGCAAAAGCCATTCCAGGGTTATTGTGCCTACGGGCTTTATGAAATTTCTCCCTTTAGAAAGAAAGGAAGTTAGAGACAAACACATTGTGCATCAGCACAGCCTCCAGCCCAGCAACTCCAGCACATACAGGAGCGGCAGCAGAGGAGGGGTGCAGGAGGGTTTATGATTCAGTTTGGCTGAGGGCAATGGCTTCTCCCCAGAAACTAAACTGGCAATGCCCAGCCTTCACCCTTAATAAGAAGCTATATCCTAGTGCATTAAAGCCCAGGCATTCTTCCATTCACAGTGGAGCTTCTCTTCTTCAGTCTGTCATGGCTTCAGAGGCAGGGTGATTGCTACAGCCCCAGTAACAGACCTCCTGAGCCGGTCCCAGTGCCTCTGTCTCTACCCTACCTTGTCTCCTGCCATGTGCCAAAGCTGGCACAGTCAGTCATGGCTATGCGGAGGTGAGCTCTCCCTGCCGTCCCTGTTGCAAGTGCCTGCCTGTTCTTCCCCCGTCCCTGCCTGCCTCTTGCTCACAGTGCCGGCTCCCAGGCACCACACTTACCTTCCACAATGCCCCAGGGGTAGAGCCGTCCACGGACGCGCTGGCCTTTTGCCTCCACCACAGTGTTACTGCCGATGACAGCAAAGGGAGCGCTCTCCTGGAATGAAAGGCATCGCTAAGCCCAGCTCAGCCCAGGGCTGCCCACAGATCCCTCCTCCAAGGGCCAAGCTCAGGCGAAGCAGAACAGGAGGAGGAAGGTGCTGCTAGGAAAGGCACAGGGACATCCACACGTGCCACAGCACAGGACACCACAACCCAGCTGCAGAGAGAAGCCTAAGGCACTGTGGTCTGCAGGCATCTGATTCCCAGCCTGACCTTCTCAGCTGTCCTGAGGGAAAATGTGTCTCTGCAGGTACCTGCATCCCTTCTTTGAGGGGAAACTCTACAAGGAAGCCAGAGCAGAGAGGCTGGGACACCAAGCAAGTGGAACAGTGTAGGCCAAGAGCTTGTCCAGGCAGGGATGTACAGGCTGGGCTCCTCTCTGCTCAAAAGGGAGTCAAAGCCCATTGCACCTCTCTGACAGGAGAAGCAAGGCCATACTGCATGCACACACGGGGCTGGCTCAGCCTGGGAGAGGGTCAGACCTGGGCTGCTGGGGCCTCCAGACAGGCCCGTATGAGCATTTTGTCTCCCCCCATGCAAATAATGCATCACAGTGCTGCCTCACCACTCACAAATCGCTCCTCCTTGCTGATGGCATCACTCAGAAATAGGATGAAGGCTGTTGTACAACCTGGCCTTCACCTTAAACATACAAACTGGGGCAGACCAAGGAAAGACTGACATTGCCTGGTGGGAGAGCAGAAGTGCCATGTCTTCATGCCACACTTGACTTCATGGCAGCAGCAAGGACATCAGAACCTTCTCCAGGCCATCTACCATGTGAGCCAATGTAGGCTGTCCACTGGGTATCAGCAGCACAGGCCTTTGGCACACAGAGGGCAGCTCTGGCTTCTTCTGGAGCAAATGACATACCCATGAGCCTGACTTCCCAGTCCCCTGCTGAGCAGGTTCCTTACCTTCAGCTCTCTGTCTTGCTGCTTGAACTCCTCGTCTTCATCAGAGTCACACTCAGGGAACTGGTACACTTTAATGCTAAACTTGTCAATCTCTTCCCGGATCTGTGTCCGTGCAAGACAAAAACAAAAGGACGCAACACTGAATATAGAAATGCTGGGTTTATTCCCTGTTTGTGCTACCATGGGTTTGCTATAGCCTACAAATGGTGAAAGGATTTGATGTTTCTTTCACACACCACTTCCCTTCTCACAGCAGAGCACTGCTGCAATTAGATTTGCAGGTACTGTGTGTGTATATATGCACACACACATGCTATATATATATACATACATCTCTCTCTCCCTGCCCCCCTCCTCAGCCCATCCCTGCCACCACATCAGGTATACCCCCCTGTAGAGAAAGAGCATCTCACCCTCTCTTTTAGCTTCCGGATCTCGGAGGGGATCAGGCAGTCAGCTTTGGCAATCAGGGGCACAATGTTGACCTTCTCATGCAGAGCCTTCATGAACTCAACATCCACAGGCCTCAGCCTGCAGCAGGCATGAGGAGGGACGTGGTTAGCAAGGACACACTGGGCAGCTCCCCCTCCAGCCTCTCCCACCCACTGAGCACGAAGGGAAAAGCACAGCATTGTCACAAGAACCTGGGGCAGCACTGAGAGCCCTCAGCTAGGGCTGTATCTTCAGAAAAGCTGTCTCAGATTTTAGCTGCTGAATGTCTCACACAGGCACAGGCTGGGTATTCGCTCCCTTGCGAGCCAAATACTGCCCAGGCCACAGCCCGGGGCCTCCCTCCGGCTGCTCCGTGCCGCAGGCAGGCAGCATGACCCCTCCAGCTGCTCCAGGCTCGCCCAGCACGCGAGCCAGCACGGGGCAGGGACTGAAGGCAGCTTAAAACTCCCTTTCCTACCCATCAGGCAGGCTTAGCTAGATAGGAAGATACAAGTCTGTGTGGCATTATTTCTCCTGATTTCCAAAACAAGCGCTAAGGCCTGAGGGAGATCCACTCTGCCTGATCACAGGCAGTCTGCCATGCCAGTGAGGGGGAGGGAGGTGGTGTGATGCTCAGCTAAGGGAGAGCAGCCAGACAGCTCCTCTCCTGTGCCAACAGCCCTGCCAAAGTGCAAGCCGCTACAGGGCAATCTTGGGGCACAAGGGTCTTCCCTCCAGACCGAGTCATACCCCAGCCCCAGAGTGGGGGCTCTCACCCATGCCCGAAGGGTGAGATGAAGTAGAGGCAGCAATGCACTCGGTTGTCCTGGATGTTCTTCCGGTTCAGGCCGCTCTCATCACGGAAATACTGTTCAAACTGCTGGTCGATGTAGTCAGTGATGGGCTTCCAGCTGGAAAGGGCAATTCAATCAAAACAAAATCACATGTTTAACAGGACACTGTCTCCTAGGGACCATGAGGCAGTATCATCCCCTTCCCGCTGCCAGACTCCCTTCCTGTGAAGCAGCCATAGAAAACAGACATGGCCAAGGACTAGGAGGAAGGCAGCAGTGGCTTGCTCACCACTCAGTGTTGTTAACAGCATCTCCAAAGCCTGGTGTGTCCACTATCGTCAGCTTCAGCTTGACACCCTTCTCCTCAATGTCCACTGTGTGCTTGACGATCTCCACTGTCTGGTTGATTCTCTCTTTGAACAGGAATATGTGAGTTAAAGCCAGGCCGTAACTGGGGATCCCCACTCACACCCATGACAAGCTGGCTCCCTCCTTATCACTGAGTACAGGGAGTAACATGGGTTTCAAAAAACCCTGATCATCCTCTAAGGAGCCTCAAGGGAGCAGTACTGTGGGAGGCCAACAGCAGGCAGACAGACTCTGAGAAGATACACAAACCTCTGAAGTGCTTGTAGCCCAGCTGTTCTGAACATTTTGTCCACACGTGGTGTAAGGGGAATCTCTACCACACTCCAGCACCCAAGAACAAAAGACAAATCTCCGCAGTTCTACCCAAAGGGCTAGTGCTGCTCTGCAGCCTCGTCTTCCCTTTGTAGGACAGAAGAGCCCCACAGCCAAACCTTTCTTGCTCAAATACAGGTGCCTCTGTGGTCAGCAAAGGAGAGCAGAGCAACAGACAACAGGGCTGGGATCCAGCCAAGCCTGCAGCTGCTGCTGAAGCAAGGAAGCTAAGTACTGGTCCTCAGGACAGTCTAGTCCTGTGGGCACAAGAACTATTTGCCCCCTTTGTCCCCAGCTTACCCTCAGCGTTGAGGAGCTTTTTGTCTTTGTAGAGGTCTGTCAGGAACAGGCTATTCACCAGCGTGGATTTGCCCAGACCCGACTCTCCTAATTGACAGAGTGCAAAGGGGAGGAGGGAAAAGCAAGCAACATGACCCACTAATTGACTTACAAATGAAACACTGAACAAGGCTTTGAATCCTGAGCCAGAGGAAGTGAGAGAGATGAGCTGTCAGAAGCTGTTTATGGGCATTACATTTCCCCAGCAGTGGGAGGACTTTAGCTGCAAGATGTCTCAATCTCTTTTCAAATGTGATCTCCCACCTCCTCCATCCTCCCTCCCCTCCCCTCCCCTCCCCTCGGCCCCTGCCCTCACCACCCAGACCAGCCACTGCTGGAGGAGAGGCTACAACCCGCGCCTGCTCCAGCGGGCTGCGAGCGGTCAGGAGGGGCCCATTCCTCCTGAGGGAACAGCGCGACTGCAGCACAGGCTGGGGAGCAGAAGGTCTGAGACAAGGACCAGAACGGAGCGAGGGAAAGATCCAGATGCTAAGGGAGCACCTAAGGGAAGTGAGGAGAGCTGCTCCCTTCCATGTACCCACTGTCCGGCCCAGCCACCTCCATCCATAGGTAGTCTCACCTGCGACCATCAGGGTGAAGTCGAAACCCTTCTTCACGGATTTCCGGTGGACCTGGTTCGGCAGAGTGGCAAAGCCCACGTACTGCTTCTCATGGTCCTGCAGGGCAGAGGTGGATGTGAGCAGTTCATGGTGTGCCACCCTTCCTGCTCAAGCCTCACACAGCAACAGGGAGCTGGACTCAAAAAGCCCCAGAGGCAGAGCCAAGGGGTAGAGGAGAGGTCGGTCCCTGCCCTGGCAGCAGTGTAGGGCAGGGCACACATCTCCTCTAGGCCCAGGGACTTCTGCCCTTCCTTGCAGCTGGGCACAGAGGGCCACCTCCCTTCAGCTGCAGCCCTGCTCAGCTCCTGTCACCAGCAGACGTGGCAGTTCATGGCAGCCTCCCAGCATGGAGAGCGCAAGGGAAAAGGCACATCCTGCCATTCCCACCAGAGAGAACATCTGGGGCTGCTGCTGACACACAACTGCCCTAACTCTGCTTCTCCTGCACAGTCACAGGCTCCCTGCACAGCACGGTCACCAAATGTCACCTCTCCCCAGGCCTTTCAGAGCCATTTCTGCATCTCTCCCTCCAGAGGCGTGCGCAGGACATGATGGAGAGCTGTCCGTAATGAGCACCCCAGGGTTTGTGGTGTCCCGAGCTGTGTCTAGAGGAAGCTGCGATGGCTTGGCTTCTGCTTGACCTGAGAGCGGATTATTTCTTGCTGTGTCACAGCCACTCCTGGCTGAGTAAGAGGAAATCCTGAATAATCTCTAGTGTTATTTCTGAAGAGACAGAAGTTCAAGGAGCACGTGAAGTGGGAAGATGCAAAAGCACTGAGAACACAGGTGAGATGCTTGTGGTGAGGGTATTACATATGGTATTACTGGAGGGCTACCTATTGCCTAACCACCCCCCAGATGCAGACCCCCATCACTGAGTGCTCTCTTACCGTGTAAAAGCTGTAGCCACCCCACAAGCATGGCACACGCTCTGTACAAGGGCACTAAGTGCACGCAAGGAATGACATGACCAATGGCGTGTTCCACAAGCACACAGCACGCATCCCGCAGCCAGAAGCAAACACGGAGCCCGCGCTGCGTCCCAGGGTCACACACCCTGCTCATGCAGGGTACATCCTGAAAGGCAAACATGGCCCGTCTACGGGATTCACAGACCTGCTCCAGCTACTGCCCCCAGGCTGGGCTCAGCACACAGCCTGCTGCTCGCAGCTCAGGCAGCTGCAGGTAACTGTGGGCCACACAGCCCGGCCGCTCCATCCATCCAGCCTCCTGAGCATCCCTGGGCCTTCACAGCCCGCACCCCCATGGCGGCACGTTCCGCTCCCCAGGCCTTGTTTCAGAGGTAGAGTTGGCACGGACCCTGGCAAACACCTCCCTTCTCGCATACCTTCCAAGCTAGACCCAAGGGGAAGGAGCCGTTCACAAATGCCTGAGCTAGAGACATCACAGACTCTGCATTTCAACATCACTTACAATAAACATACCCCTGGGATTCACACCACAGGCAAATCCACAGAGCCAGAGTTCCTCACAACCAGCCCCAGCACCCACCCGGCCATGGATGCCTTCAAGAATATGGCTGTCCTCACCCACACAGCTCTCTGGCACTGGTTCTCCAGGCACAGCAGGGAAGCCCTCTGTTCCTAAGTTTAACTATCTACATTCCTGGGGCACACACTCAAAGAAACACAAATTACAATCTGGCGTGTCACGCTTAGGGCAGTGCTGACTCGCACCTATTTCCATACTGCAAGAGAGCAATGCAGCTCCCGAGCAGCCCTCTACAGCCCCTAGCCGCAAGTCACCGCGTGAGCATCCTCCGCCGTCCTCAGCTGGGCAGGCTGCAGAGCTGTGGCGGGGACAGACAGCAGGGAGGACATGGAGTCTCCTCCTCCCAATTTATGGCTGCTCTGGAGCTGTCCGCTCAGACAGGACAGACGTGGCTGATGGCCACTGTGGCCCGAGGACTCTGTTCTTTAGCACAGTGAGTGCCTTCTAGAAATTTAGGTTTGGTCTGGGTCTCAGACTTGGTCACTTCAGCCCTGACAGACAGAGTGACTGCAGGCTCCGGTCTCCCTCACCTCACCCCCTTGTGAACATAGCTGAAGTAACGCTGCTCCTCCACCCCACAGTCCAGAAAGGCAGGAAGAGACAGAGCAAACAAAATTAGAGAGAAGTGGGAAGAATTGGAGAGTGCCTGAAGCATTCCACTGGCAGCTCCAATGGCTGAGCTAAAAGGTGTTGGCATCCCAAAGCAGCAGTGCAGCAAGCAGCGGTGAGACCCCAGGGTGAAAAGCGACAGCAGCTCTGACAAGCTGTACACGGCACAGCAACGCCTGCCGGGAGGACACTGCAAACTGCCCCCAAAAGGCTCAGTAAAGGGTAAACACGAGGCGTGCAAAGCAGGGTGAGAAATGTGGTAATGGCAAGATCTTTGGAAAGACAGCAATCACCTGCTCTCTCCAGTGACTTGACATGTGAAATAGCACTAGTAACGCACTAATAAAACCATAGCTGAGGCTTCGGGTGTGCTTCTCTTATTTTCTTTGTTTTTTAACATACATGACTAAGGGCTGACAATGGAGACACTGGGGAGCTGAGCTCTGGTGCAACTCCATTTACCTCAGCCAAGTGTAACTGGCTGAACCTGCTCTCGTTTCTGTTCAGACCAACCAACAAAGTGTGGATTTACTGTACCTCTGATCACCTCCCCACAGCTCGGTGGAATCAGGACACTTGAAATGAGCAAATCCCGGCTGGCGCAGGACACTGCCCTTTACTCATGACTCATGCGGTCATTTCCCTCACATTAAGGAAGGTCAGTGCTGAGCACAAGGGCAAGAGAAGAGCTTCCCTCGCAGTGGGAGGCAGCCAGAGTTGCAAGGAGAAAAGCCCTGTCCCCAGTCATGCCCCCTCGGACCAGCCACGGACGCACTGCAGAGCCTGCTGGGAGCCAGAGCCAACGTGTCTGTAAAGGGGAAGTCAGGAGACGCAGGGGAAATTGTGGAGAGGGATCCCCTTCTTCTAACAGCCTTCTCTCAGGAACAACACCATGGTCCCTGCACCATGGCCAGCCTAGACCCATGGTTCCTCATCTCAGCTTTAAGACAACCAATGCCTGGCCCCACCCCAGCCCTGTCAGGACACCACGACAGGCACGTGCCACTGCCTCTGCTAGTGTGCCGACATCAACATCGCACTTACGGAGCCCAAGCAGCCTCCTGAGCCTGGTGTCTGCCTCACGCAAAGCTCTACACCACTCACCATCCTTGTTATGACCCAACACGGACACTACCTGCAGAGCAACCATGCACAGGATGGAGAGTGCAAGAGTGCAGAGGGCTGGGAGGGCTACTGAAGGAGGCAGGTGGCTTTCTGGGTTGTGAAAAGCTGAAACCCGTTAGTTAGACAAGAGTTGGACTGAGGGAGCTCCTGGAGGCATCACAGCCCCCTCCAGATGCTCCTGACCCTCACGAGCCAGCTCCCATCAAGCTGACACGGGCTGGGACAGCTGGTCGCTGCACCGTGCTTCCCCTGCCAGCCCCAGCTGTCGGGAAAGGGTCCCAGCCAGCCGGGCCAGCGGTGCCTCTGGCACGAGGAGTCCCTGTCCCCACCGCCTCCTCCGCATGCCGCCTTTGTTCCCACTGGCGTCCCACTCCCACGTGCCTGGGAACGTGCCCCGCGCACCACAGCGGAGGCCAAGAGATATAGCCGACCTTTGGGGCCCTGTTACAAACCAAAGCTCCCCAAGCCAAGCAAAACATGTCTGTACTCTCCCTCGGCACACGCTTACTGGTTCACTGGACATCACAGCAACACGCTGCGCCTTCACATCCCCCACCACCCGGCTGATGCGGCCACGGCTCCCTAGCAGGCAGCGCTCCCCCTGGGAGTTCAAGCCAAGGAACAAAGCACTGGTGGGTTCCAGTCCTGTTCCTGTCAGGGTAGAGACATTTGGGATCTGTTGCATAAGAGGAGAAGCCATCCCCGCTACCAAGGTGTTTGCAGGGCTGTCTGTACCTCCAAGAGAGGGTACGCAGCATGGCTTCCATCGCTCCTGCCATTCCCAATTCCCTCCTCACCTCCGTGGTAGACACGCTGTTTAAACCAATCCAGATCTCGTCTGACTTTACCATTCAGCCTGGAGATAAATGGAGCCTTACTGGGTAATATTCAAAAGGGCTAAAATTAAACAGCGTGGGACCACAGAAAACTTGAAGGATAGCCGCTGCCCCAGGCCTGGAACAAACCCCAGAAATGATGGAGCTTGTGCTGGGATCCTGGTGCCCCTGCCTCCACTTCTTCGGGGCGGGCCCTCTCGGTGTTACAGCCTCCAGCTCAAGCTGTCCAGCTCCCTCCCAGGCAGCCCTTCCTCCAGCTGTTCCCCTCCGGCCACGCACAGCGGCCACCACATCCGCGTCTGCATGAACCAGCACAGCCCAGCCCCAGAGGAGAAGCAGACCCTCCGCTTCCTTTCACTGCCAGAAAGCTGTGTAAATTCATAAAGCAAACAGCCCCTAGGGCATCTCCTGCGTACATCTATTGCCTCAGGCCTGGGGCTGAGCATGGGAGTATCAGCAAAGCCACTCACCCACCAGCGTTTGCGCCAGCAGAAAGAAAAACGGCTAGCAAAGCACAGTGTTAACATGGTAACACAAACCAGACGGCGTTTGGGCACACACGGAGCGTTAACTCCTGCCCCGAGCGCCCCAAGCACACACACGCCATTCAGAGAGGGAATCACTGCATCAAATAACCACAGAAAAATATGACGCACGTCTCCCAGCTGTCCATCACGCCCCTTGGCCCTGCTCCCGCGGGGGCTGCTCCCCTCCTTTCTGTCCCTACCACCTCTCCCTTACCAGGGTCTTTCCGCTCCTCTGCTCCTCAGAGGTCTCATTGTGTGCTGCACACGTCTGCTCAGGCACCATCCTCCCCGCTCCTGTCCCTGCTGCTCCCCGGCTCGCACGGTGCTATAAATACACCCCCATACCTTCAGCTTGGCTGGGTGGCTTCGCTGTGCCTGCGTCCGAGGAGAAAGCAGCCGCTCCACTAACCGCTCCTGAATAATGATCGAATCCATAACTGTGGCCGGCAGGACGGACAGCCGCTGTGGGCCAAGAAAAAAAAACCCAACCCATGTGTTCCCTCCCAGCCTTCGCTAAATCCATGCAGCAGCCCCCCGCCTACGCATGCACACACACGCAGGGCTGGCTCGGCTTGACTCAGCACGGCGGCCCGGCGAGGCAGAGAGGCGAGGAGGAGAGAAGAGGCGAGCGGGTCCCACGGCAGCTGCCCGGGATTTCCTGCCTCCGCCTGTGCTGCGGGAGGAGCCTGCCAGCAAGGACAGGACAAAAGCCACCACAACGCAGGCCAGAGGCAACCTCTCTCGCTCTGCCAGTGTCCCGCAGAGAGGGTGTGCACGTATCGGATGCTGTTCCAGCTATGAGTCTGACTCCTTTGGTCAGACGGACTTATTCAGCTGAAGGATTTCTTAGATACCCTGGCTGATGCAGCCCAGACAAAGGTTTGCTGCAAGGAAACCCCCTCTTGGCGAAAATGTGCTGCGTCTGGTGGGGTGTGCAAAGGTCTAAAGGGTCTGGAAAGCTCCCAAAAAGCTGGGTCCGAACTTAACCCCCAAAATCTAGTCCTGGTTGATGTGGATCTGCTGCCATGTGGAGCAGGTCCATCTGTTGTCTAGTCCAGGCTATATTGCAGCCTCATCTCTGAACCCAACTGGAATAGCAGCTGATGTATTCTGGACCTCAGAGCAACCACTTAAGCTTTGAAGACGTTTCAAAATAAAGAAGTATCTGCATTTGTTAAGCACAAGTACCCATCCCAGCAATGGCCTAGCATGCACAGAAAATTCATTCAAACCTCAAGCTTGGATTCTGAACCTACGTATAAGACCTGCTTTCTAGCTTTTCTACGGAGCCATAGAAACTGAACAGGAATTTATCTGAAACAGAAAAAAGCTGATAATCTCATATAATCACAGGATTCCAGAAACTGGGGGGTTAATATCACAGCACATATAATGAAGTCACATGAGATGGCAACACTGGTGGTGCTGGAGGAACCTGCCACTTGCCACACGGGTTCCTGAGCAGCTTTCTGCTTGCGAACAGGGAAGGACGCAGGCTGCTGCCACGCTCCTGCCTCGCTCCCAGCCAGAGTTCCTCTGGGAACCGCAGGTCTCTGGCAGCAGCTCCAGAGAGCACCTGATCAGCAGGGTCTGCCCTGATCCCCTCAGGCCACAGCCCAGGGCCCCCACCGCACACCCCAAGCGTGGCTGACGCCAGGTTCTGCTATAAGGCGCCGAGTTACTGCAAGGTCTCCCGTGGCCTGAAGTCTAGGGGCAGCTGTGAGAGTAGAAAGGTCTCAGAAACACACCACACGCTGAAAAAAAAAGGCAAGAAGGAAAAAGACAAGCAGTGTTTTACCTATGCTGCCACCCTGCAAGCTGAGGGAAGGCGATCTCAGAAGTTGTAGGCACAAGGTCTTAAACGCTAAGAAAAATAAATGGAGGAGAACTGGAAACACTCCTAGAGCAGGAAAACTCCTGCCACACGGCAGCTGTCATACTGCATGCATGAAGCCCTTTTCCAAACCACCCTGCTCTGCCAGCAGCATCCTTAAATTACACCCACTAGGTTTTGTTCCCAATCATTTCTGCATGTAACAGTCAAGTGGAAGGCCTGGACTGAGATCCAGGTGTGACAAGAATTGCCACCTCTCAGAACATGTCCCTGTTCGGTGGCTCTGCACCTGCTTTGCAGCATTGCTCCATTCCTCAGGGAGATGATAATCCTACAACGTCCTCCCAGATTCACAATACCTAATCCCTGCTTTCCTGACTGGAGGACTCCACCACCGGGGTCTGCAGGTTGTGCATGACTGAGGAGCAATGAAGGTACCAACACTGTCTGCAATGAGCAAATGGAAGATGCATCCAAACTTACTTGAGATAACAGAGAGGTTTCACCAGTCCTTTCACACCATAAACCACAGTAGCAGCAAGCAAACCTTCTCCAACCCCCATGAATTCTCATGGCTTGGTAAACCCTTGTCTGGGGACCACAGGCCACATGGCCACCAACCACAAGCATCTTCCATGGGTACATGGAGACATGCTGTGTCCCCGTGAGCCCACTGCACCAAATCAGAGCATTCTTCTGAGCTGGGATCACAGATGAAGTCAACAATGTCTTGGTTGCAACAAAACCACAGTGTTGTTCATGGCCCAGGAGCTGTGCTGACAGCGCAGAGAGGAACAAGGAGCTACTGTCTCCTGAGCGCCTTGAGCTCTCGCACATCACGCTCGCTCTCAGGACTGGCAGCCAGGGAGGAACCCCAGCCAGGAGGCCACGCCTGGGAATGCAGAGAGCAGACTAGGAAAAGAAACCCAGAAGGGTAGGTCTTGGCTACAGAGAGCATCTTAAGACTGCGTGGCCAGCGCTATGGCTTTCAAAATGCTGAAGGAGGGTCAACTGGTCCCATACTCAGCCTTCTCTGCCTCTCCTACAGATGTTTATCTTGGCTCCTCTCCTACCCGGAGCCACCAAACCAGAAATGATGGGCCACGGAGGGGACATGTTTGTGTCCCCCAGATGTGCCGCATGACACACCCAGAGCCACTGGCTCAGGTTGGTCCGTGTGCAAACCTCCCAAAGACAGCCAAGCCAACCTTATTTTGTCCCTGTCCTTCCTGACTGCCACCCTCCCTTTCCACGCAGCCCCTGGAAATGCCCAGTGTAAACCTGGCCTGCTCGTCCAACAAGAAATCTGATGTACGACACCCTTAAAAGAGGAAAAATAGCACACGGGACATCTCACACACAGTGTGCAGCAGAGCTCAGCAGGGAGAGGCACACCTTTGCCCTTTCAAGACCTAGAGCAAAACCAAAGTGGTTTTTTCCACTGGCTTGTGGGCCACAGGCACCTCTAACCTCCTCCCCAGGCAGGTGGTAGCAGCAGCAGCAGCTCAGGGGTGAAGCTGGCAGCAGAATCCAGGTCTCTGACTGTCAGAGCAGAGCTCTGCTCAGCCCCAACCCACCGATCACTCAGCAAGGGAAAGGCAGGCTTGGGGTGCGCCAAGCCGAGCCCACCTCACGGACCAGCCCTTCTCTGTCAAACTGTGACAGCAAAAGAGAAAGACAAAAAAATAATCAATGAGCGTTGTCTGGCACAGCCCAGCCCCTCCACATTGCTGCTGCGTTGAGCACTTGCTTACTAACGACAGAGCCAGGGCAGAGCCAAAGTGCAGGCCCATCCTTCTGCAACATCCCTCTCCTTTGGCTTGTAAAAGTCGGCTCGGGGCGAGCACAGCCTTGAGGGCTGCTCTGGGCAGGGGACGCAGCATGTGTGGGAAGAGCTGTGGCTGTGCACTAGCAGCGACAGAGCAATGTCCTACTTTTCCCTTTGTGAGAGGGGATTTCTAGCCTGCAATCCTGAAGATGGGCTCTGAGAAGAGGAGAGAAAACACTTTTTTTCCATGTATTTAGATGTAAACTCATAGAAGGTGAAATTCACCACCGGGCGGCTGGCTGGAGCGCAGAAACACTCCCCAAGAGCAGCCCATCAGCCTTGCGAGGGCAGGTGGGGGCGAACCCGCAGGCTGCGCTGCACAGCACCAGCCCCGCGAACAAGGAACAGGGAGCCACGCTTCACCAGCAGCCCTAATTGAAGGCAGATGCAGGGCTGTGCTATCGCACCGTCATCGGAGCTGGAAGTGATACACCCATTTAAGAAAAACAGCCAGGGCTCAGGACCTGGCAGCGGCAACGGGCAGAGATCAGCCACACAGAGCTCAGTGCGGTGGGCAGAGGCAGCTGCCAACATGACAAGCAAGGAGCGGAGACAACGGGAGGATGGCTGGGGAGAGACTAGAGATGGGGATGGGGGCAGGGAGAGGAAATTCTGTCCTCAGCTGAATTTACACCACCCTGGCCAGGCTCCAGCCACAACCAGAGCCCCACACCCCCTCCTCCCGGCAGCCCCCAGCTCCCATCGAAGCGGGGTCTCGCCTCGGCAGCCTCCACGCTCAGCCCTTTGCATGGGCTTAGCCGAGAGGCTCAGCTCTGAGCAGCCAAGAGAATACAAATGGGAGCTAGACCCAGAGGTCCAGCTGCGACGAGCTCTCCCCCCACATCAACCAGAGCACCCAGGGGAAGCAGCATGGTGCGGGGGGACAGGGCCCCAGCCAGCTTGGAGGAGAGGTCCCCCACCACAGGGGAGCCGGCTTCTGGCAGAGGTGCTATGGCCTAAGGACTGCAGTGTTCAGGCTCCATCCTTGGTGAACAACCAGCAGCATCTCATGGAAGGAAAATCTTCAGCATGGCCCAATGGACACTCTTGAGCAGCAGAGAAGCAGGCAGTAGGGCCCATTGTGGGACACACCCGGCCAGCCTGGCCGGCGCAAAGGACTGGTGAAGCTCTGCATATCCATGCCTCAGCAATATCAGCACAGTCACGTGATGACAGCATTTACGTTTCTTCCTCTGAAGCAGACAAAGCTGTTTTCAGAATTCCCCACAGAAGGGAAATTCAGTTCCTAGCTACTTTCTACCAGGACAGGAAGGGCACTTCCAGAGGAGCTGTTTGCTCAAGTCAAATAGGAGCAGCAGCAGCAGGCAGCAAACCCGTTCCCGGCTTGGACCAGGGCAATGGAGGCTGAGGAGCTGCAGATACCTTCCCTGTGGGTGCACAGCTGGGAACCTCCACGGCTGGGTTCCCACCTTCTCCTCCTGCTGCCTCCTCTCCCACTGCATGGAACGTCAGTGCTGACTCCAGGCTTGTGAATCTCATGGGTGTCACAAGGTTTGGACTCTGCTGCTCTATCACCAGCAGTGCTGCACACTCACCCTGATGTTCCTGCTTACCTGACCCAAGAGAAAATGCCTTGCTCATCTAAACTCTGATGATCAATTTAACCTTGAACTTGCAAGCAAGGCTCTATGTATGTGGTTACTGGGAGTATCGGAGTCCTGACACTTTAGCCAGGCTTCATGCTTTGATGCTCACGGAAAAGCAAGAAAGCAGACCAGAAATCCCAAAACACTGGATTAATCTCCTGTACATACAGTACCACAAGCACAATGAACACAGCAACCAGATCTCCTGTCTTTTAGTTTACCTACTCCGCAGGTCAAGCTTTAATTTCCGCTCAAGGATCACTGCTGCTTTGCCATATAATCCATCCAGAAATCTATCAAATTCGATTTTAAAGGTATTTGTGCTCCCTGCTTCCACTTGAAGTACCTCACCCTTCCCAAGAGGCGCTGTGTGACTCACGCGATGCCTCCA